AAAATCATTAATAGGCAATTGTTCGATGGGTTGAATTGCACAAAACGCATGATCGCACCGGCTAGTTTGGTGCGCGTTGCTACTTATTTGTAAATTATAAGCATCGCTCTGCTGTTTCACTTACACCAGCCTTGGGCGCTCCATTTCGTTTGTATTCCACCACTTTGCCATCAGTTGAGCTCTGAATCAGCCGGTGTACATAATTATCACCAATGTAATCCCAGACACGTTCACCACCAATTTCCAAAGTGAAAGTATGCGATGTCGCTTCGAAATGTCTGCAAAAAGTAGCCACATAAAGATGCACCATTTGTCAGAAACACACTCTGAAAACGCTGTACGAAAAACGAGCCACACAATGATGAAGTTCTGAAGACGAACCTATATGCATGACCATCAACATATCTGCCGCAACCGACGTTACCACAAATTATGCATATCCAAAGATCCGTCGTTTTTCCGCAATCGAAGCATTTCTGATCGGCCACTAACTCGGGCGTTTGACAGTACCGGCAAACTGGGCATCTGCAGACAAAAAAAGAAAAGTAAGCTCATCTAGTGATAGTCTGTGAAGTGGATATTGCAGTTACGCATAGATGCAAAAATAACAAAAGAGACATTAAAGTGAATGCTACAGCTAATGCCACATCTGACAAGTAAAAAGCCGTATCACCGAGAACTTAACAGACTGAAAATGATGGTGATGCAAGTTGCCTGTGTGTCTTCAATAATACAATACTATTATAATTTTGAGCGAACAGCGTAAAACTGGCATCAATTTGCACTTTTGACAATTCCTTCTAATCAGTGACCTCAGATACAAATATGAGTTAATTTTATAACTTGGTAATCAAAAAATCTACAGTTTAGGAGTTTTAAGCGAATTGATTTACAAAACAAATAAAAGCAGACAGCTTGATGTTAATGACCACCTCTGACGCTATCACGACTCACACCCAAATCTAAATTCTGGCTAACTCTGCTACTTAAAAACCAAGATAAATACAAAATTTTAAATCCTAGAAGATCAGATTCGTAAGAAAATTCGATTTGAAAAAACTGATGCAAATCGTTGATCACAGTGGCATTCTATTTTGTTAACTAACAAACAAAAAGCCCATAAAGAACTGAGGAACCAAGAAAGTTAAAAGTTGAAATTTAATAGGACAATTATTCGCACAAATCAGGACAATAATTTGGAATATATGTCTAAAGCCTATGGCTCCCGCTAATTTCTAATTCAAAATACGAAAAATTAAAATTCAAAATTTTATTACTTTTATTCCTATACGTATCAATTACGACCACAATTCAAGTGCTCAGTGGTAGTAAGTTCGAAAATGATAAAAATGCAAAATTGCAGTTCTTCCTACGCAAACAGACAAATGAAAACATTAATTATATAAGCCTTCTCTATATAATGACTGATTCATCAGCGCAGCTTGCGTAATGATTTATTATAAAAGCACATATTCGTATCAGTTTCCTACCGCCCATAGCTATTTACTATAAAAAAAGACATTTTGGAATGCAACACTCGATAAAGCAGACACACTTACGTCGTGTCAGTCCACTGCTCCAAGCATTGAGCATGAAAAGTATGATTACAGAGAATTGTAAGTACGCCATCGTCCATGCGTTCCAAGCATACCGCACACGTTGGCAACTCCGTCATGTTTTCCACCGGCAAACTGCCACCAGCTTCTTCACGGGCCTAAAAAATGAATAAAAATTCCGCGCATGAAATTTATGAATCTGAAATATTGGATTGTTTATTACTGAGAAAAAAAAAATGCTGAATAAACGTCCAGTGAGTAAAATACCGTTTCAATTTTCTCGACGAATACGAGGGAGCA